GGCGCTTGCGTCGGACGCAGGCGTGGTACACTGAGGAAGGAGGACGGCTGTACAAGCGGTCTGCCTGTAATCCCCACCGTCCGATGCCGAGCCGTGGCTTCCTTTGGGGGGGGGATATGATATGGCAAAAAATGGTAAACCCCACTCCCGGCGACGTCCCCCGCACGTGGACAGGCGCGGCGCCCCAGGGAGAGCAACGAGGGCGACGGTCTGCGTCCGGACGTTAGCTTCACTGAGCCCACAGTCCCTCAGTTGACCCAGCACAGTAGGACGAGACAGGAGTAGGTAGCGGTTGAAGCTCGCCCATACCCTGCGATTCCCCATTCCCATACGCAAGGTCCTCGGCGATGTCGGACGCCATCAGAGATACGGCCCCGACCGACGGGAGGGCGCGCCCGATAGTGCCGAGTTCCCCCTATAAACGCCCTCGAGCTAGAGGGAAGAAGGCAGGCTGAAATCCCCAAACAATCGCCACCGCATCTCTCTAACTTAATCGTCGGAGGGGTCGGGTCAAGCCGACCCGACCTTTGTGCAGGTATCAAGCCGAGGACTCCCGTCCGGGATACGCAGCCAAGGAGTCCCCACCCGAAGGAAGTCGCTGCATCGCCCCGAGTCCGAGGCCGCCCCGACCACCCCGGAGGAGACGAGCATCGCCCCAGGGAAGTCCCCGCCATTCGGACCCCCGAACGAGCCGAGACGACCTCTCGGGTCACGGCTAAGAAAAAAAGGTGTTTGCACTAACAATAACGTCAAAAATGAGATAAGAGTGGATCATATGGCAAGTTGGGAGACGAAGATAACAATGTCCATATGACTTTAAAGGTGATATGGTTTGACATATCCATATGTGATGGACTAATATTACACCATACTATGCCTGTGATGGCCTGCCATGTCTGACTTGGGAAGTTCATGCCAGCTACTGTAAGTTCAAGCCCGAAGACTATACCCCAATCTCTCTCAATCAAGTGACAGATTTCGTCAACTCCATCATCACCATCAATCACCTCTCAGTTTGAGTTTATTAGTTTCGTCGAGCACTCTATCATCGGAATTTAAATTTAAGATTTTGTATTATAGTAAGAACTCAAACATGAATCTTAAGATGTCGTGCAAAGAACAAACCGTATTAAGCTTTCTATCGATCACTGCTCAACTCGAACATGATCGTTGGTTTTGATTCAAATTTAGAAGTTGAGTATGCTGTTAAAAGAAGGAGACCAGAAATCCATCAGCCATGGGCTCCTCAGCTGAGTCAAGAACGGGTCCTGCAGCCATTCCATCCCGCTGCTCTTTGGAACCTCCAATTCGGGGAGACTCGGCCGCCGAGTCGACGCCCCCGCGGCAGCCACCACCTCTTCTTTCTCCTCCATTAATTCCGCCGCCGCTGCTGCCACTGCCGCTGCCATCTTCTCCTCCTCCGTGTCCTCGATCAGGATAACGTCATCCACGCCTGCTGGAGGTCCCAGCTGGAAGCTGTCCTGATCGGGCCACCCCGGCGACGAGTCCGTCATCGACGACCCAGAGTTCATGTCCTCTTCCATGGCCGCCGCCCGCTGCTCCAGCTCCTTCATTGACGTCGCCTTCCGGTATACCTTGCACAACACTATGTCCTCCTGGATAACAAGTCACGTACGTTGGATCAGTCTTCTGCGGTCGAGAGTCGAAACCACACGAAAAGCACGATGGTGCAAGAGTGCCGCACCTTGGGTGTTGCGTCGGAGGAGCTCGGCGGCGGGTCGGGGAGGCGGTACTCGTTCATGACCCAGTCGGTCTTGGAGCCGCGAGGCGCCCGGCCCTCGTAGTACACCAGCGTCTTCTTGAGGCCGATGAGCCGCTTGGGGTCCGTGGCGCTGCGCACCGGCCGGTCGCACCCGGTCGCCTTCCAGAACCCCCGCTCCGTCGTTCGGCTCGGCCGTCCTCCACTGGCTTGCCTGCGGTCCCTCGGAACGTAAAAGTACCACTCCCTCTCCCCCATCCTGGCCAACCCTGTAGAGTCATGCACGGTGCTATCAGAACACCCTTACACTGAAGCAATCAGCACATAACACAGGAACCGATGACGATACCTGGGAGCTCCCAAGGCTCATGGCGATAGAGATTGATGGAGGTGATGACATCAAACTGAAGCTTCTTTCCAAGCACCATCCGCTTGAGGTAGAAGTCGAGGAGCTCTTCCTCCGTGGGGTGGAATCTGAAGCCAGGGAGATCGAGCCCCGATCCACCTCTCTCCATGCTTTGCACCTCTTCTCTCTTGTTCGCTCCCTTTGATGCCAAGCTAACGGAAGACATTAAGTGCCTATATAGTGCATGGTTGGATCCAAAACGAAGTTTGACGTTTTAGCATGAGAGCGATAGGTTGGACTTTGATGCCTGATCACCATCACCATCCTATGTGTGCTTCCTGGAAGTGCAGCAGCACCCAGCCGGGCTGGAAAGTTATACACTGGTCATTATGGAAAGTATCCTGACTTCATGTAAAACATAATCCTATTCATTTGAAGTGTTGCAATCATCTCGATTTGAAGAAAGAAGAGTATGGAGGGAATCGGAGTACTGTTAAACTAATCATTAGGTCATGCTTGCCGAAGATGGAGGGAGTAGCCTTTTAATGAGTCAACAAGACCTGCAAATTTCCACTAGTCTACCAAGAATTCCACAGTGTCCATCATCGAGCAAAGACTGCATTATTTTGTGTGTTTGTTTTTCCTGTTCATCCCTGACTTTTGAATCCAAACCCTTATTTCGGAAGCTTGCGAGACTCTGTGTTTTAAACAAACAAAGAATGAAAGAAAGAAAGAAAGAGAAAAACCAGTAGTTTTACATCATCAATTCTCAGAGATGCATAAGATTTTGATCGCTTGTATTCTCTTCCTTTGTGTGCTTATTGTGCATTCCTTTACTAAAGATAGGATACAAGCAATGAATCCCACAAAATATAAAACTCAATATATCATCTTCATCATCGCTCACTTTGAGAAGGAACTTACAAGTAAAACTCTATATATTCTTATGCTTATGCCGAAATGAGCTCGAAACTAATATACTCGACGCAAAATATACATCTATAGGTGAATTAAATATCACAGGGAGATTTCGGAGTCATATCATAACTTCTTTTGATACCTTAATGAGATTATTTTTTTTATTTTTAATGAAAAACCAGAATCAAGTAGAGAGAGAGAGAGAGAGAGAGAGAGAGAGAGAGAGAGAGAGAGAGAGAGAGAGAGAGAGAGAGAGAGAGAGAGAGAGAGAGAGAGAGAACCAATGAGTAGGGAAGAAGACTTTGCCACAACGCGACTTTGGCTCGGTCCAAGTTTGTTCCATTCCATCTAATGCCTAATATTCTGATAGTAGTATCATAACATATTTGACCTGATTCGATGGGGTTCGCTTTACGCGATGACATATATCAGTATACTAATTTATCTAAAAAATGTACCCTCTTCCAACATCAAATATATCTTAATGCACCCCTCAAATGCATGCAGTGCGACTTCTGCTGTGCGTAGTGAATTGATGCACACGACCACACGCCGTCTCTCGAGAAGCTGACCCATTCAAATCGAGACTACCGAAGCTGATACGTTGGAAGTCATTGAACCCTCTCCATCGTCATCGAGACTACCATGCGACGGGCAACAGAGAGCGCACCCACTCATCACCACGTATTTCCTGTGGAATCGGTCAGTGCTTCGTTGTTGTTGTCCTTCTTCTTCTTCTTCTTCTTCTGCTGGAACCCTCAAGTGGATTCTTCTGTGACGACATTGCATGGTGGTCGTGCCATGATCGAGGTCTTCGACGACCGCAGCACGATCGTGATCGGCGTTGGGTGCAAGTTGGAATGTTGACTTCGGCTTGGATTGGTTGCGCACTCCAATGTGATTGATTCCCAAGCGTATTTGACGGAGTCTTATGTCTCCATCGTTGGGGTGTTTGGGACAGCCGAGATTTCATGCTCCGTGACTTGAGCGATGAATAGGATTCGATTGTGTGTGTTGTGTGTGTAAAGGTAATTGCAAATGCAAAACACTGTGCCAGGACGTGTCCGACGGGATTCCACGGTATTGTCTCGAGGAGAGAGATGTTGGGAAAGATTTAATTGATCGACGAAATCTTCACTCGATTCATCGTTACCGAATTCACTTCGATTAATTTTTAGATAGTCGTATATTTTTAGGATTTAGTGGAGAGCAAAATGCAAGAAAATAATTTGATTTTCTCTATAATAGTAATAATTTTTTTGATGTGTTCTTTGATCTGTTGGTATGCTTTTCTCCTCCAACCCCATCCGATAGGCTTCCTCTTGATCGAAAATTCATCCGGCTGGAGTTCTCCACCCACCGGGAGCTCTGTTTCGTGGTCGTCGGCCCGGAGTTCCAGTCGTCGATCAAGAAGATGGGGGGGCGAGAAACTCGAGCCAAGCCGCCGCGCTGGTGGCGGCCGCGTTGCAAGGGAACGTGAGGGGTTCTCGGGTCGGCGATGTCCGCCGACGGGACGGTGGAGCCGCGGAGAGTGCCTCTGATCCCGGGGGTGCAGAGGAGCGGTTGGTTCATTCGAGCTGTGGCGGTTGCCGATGACGAGGAGAAGGGACACGAGATCGGGTGGTGGGTGGTGGATGGTGGATGCATTCTTGAGGGAGGGGAAGCTCAAGGCGAGTCCGACGGTGGCGAAAAGCTCGATAGGGTTGCGGCGAGTGTCATCGGAAGCAGCAGCCTTCTCTTTCCTCTTTTGGTTTGCGGTCTTCTATTCGGATCATACTACGTTGTAGTCATATAGATGAATCTCCAGTTCATGGGGAGAGAGGAGAAGATGCAGTTAAACTAATGAAATGTCAAATGTTGGATCTCCAACCTAAATTAGCTGCTTGAGATGGATCCTCTATTCATCCTGCAGACCAACAAACCTCGGTATGTCAGCTTCATTTCGACGAGTGTCAAACCTGAGTGTTATCATCAGGACTCGAAAAGACGATGAAACAGTGAGAACTAATTGCAGATCTCTTCTTGTGTGTATTCATAATAAATTGACTCCCAAATGCAAGTCATGTGGACTCAAAGAGGGTGAGTTATTGTAAGTGGACCCCGTCATGGAAACAGTTGTTTAGTGTAGCCCCTGACCCCCTATTCCGATTCGGAAGATTCCGATTTCAACCGTCAATTTTTTTTAAAAATATTTAGTCAAAAATAATTTAAATATTCTTATATGTCAATATGTACCATATCGATAAGAACCGTACTAGTGTAGGGATCAGTAAGACGAACCTTAGCATAAAGACATTATAATAATCACAATACTTTTACTAATGACCAAAAAAAATTGGCAGAATAATAATTTCCCTAATAATCTCATATTCAATATAGTAATGACATCCATTCATCATTATAACTCTATAATTTTATTAATGATCTCATCCGCCAGTATAGTAATACCTGTGTTTTTACTGATGATAAAGAAACTTTAAGCTCCACCATCCCCAAAAAAACCAAAAAAATCTAATGCTCGCTGGCAAAGAGCAGCAGTCCCAAATCAAGCAATAGATCGATCAAGTACTTACCAATCCAAAACAGTACAAAGAAAGGAGTGTGTGATGGCTGCATCCACCTACGCACCTAGATCGACATCATATTGCGGCTTCGACCTCATCTGATGCCACAGCCACTCCATTTGGCTCATCATCTGCTCGGAGTTGAGAAGAAACATCATCAATAGCACTGTTAAGTTGTGCAATCTTCTCTGTCAAAATCTTCCTGGTTTTCTGTTATATCATCATTTAGCTTGTTGTTAGTGCAGCACAAATAAAGCAACGTAAGTATTGCAACTATGTTTCAGACGAAATATGGACAGTAGATTCACATTAGATGTAATAAATGAGAAGACAAGATTGTCCATTATCAGAAAAAAAAAAAAAAGAGCTCTCTTTTCCAAGTCCCATCAAATTGGGATGATAAATTAATATTTGACTGGGTTGTTGTATCCATCAGCTAAATATTTGTGAATACAACAAAATAGATCACAATGCAAATTATACAAGTATTTTTCATAAGATAACTTCGAAGCATGTGTGCAATGGCTACTACAATGTGGTTTCTTGATGAACATTACTTCGGATATGCTTTTTTTGTTATTAGAGTAGTAAATAGACTATAATGCTAACTATAAAAAAAATGCAAAACTGTAAATTAATAAAAAAGAAGAGGGAAGCTACAAAGAAGCAGGTGTATGGCCAAGGAAAGAAGAGAGATAAGAAAGAAGACAACAAACTGGTCAATGCTCGAACAGAATTTCTCCTCTGAACTGATCCAGCTTCCCAATTTATGTTGCATTGTAGTAAATGACGGAGTAATGAAAAATATATTCCACAGAAACATAAGCACAATCAATTCTCAACATACTTTGAATAATAATTCTTTGTCGATTCAACAGTAAGTATATTTCATCTCTTATTTCTACAAGCAAGAGAAATAACACACCAAACTAAAATGAGAACCACATGTGGCTACCTATGATAAATCTTTGTCACCTTCCTTTGATATTGGTATTTTTTGTTTTAAGCATCAATCACAATTAACAAGTCTATTTGAAGAATAAGTGGGTGGCATTCTTGTTCAGAATAACCAGTGAAAAAATCATGATGGTATACACATGCTTTGATGGTGATGATTTACTGATGTTTTTATCTATCCATATCAAACTCAAAACTCATTCCTCTTTTTCTTTAGTTTCTTTAACTTCTCCTTTTTGGTGGTCCTGGTGGGCTGATGCTTCTATCCATAAGTGGTAGTGAAGATATATATAGTAAAATGATCAACTAGACATCTTTCGATTAGTAAGAAACAAAGAGCTAACCACTTGTCCTCCTCGAATGAGGTGTGGTACTGAAGGTCAATATAACTAGATAAGTAGTAAACTATGAAAGTAGAAAATTGTGGTAGAAACCAAGAAAATATATCAAGTAAAAACAACCAATGCATAAGGTTATGGAGGAGTATGCAAAGAGATTAAATTGTTTGTTGCAAAGTAATTTTTTGATTGCAGATGATAATACCATAATCATAAGACTTACCTCCAAAGCTTTCTCTTCATCATAGATGAATTTTGGCAATCTCTTCATTAGATCTTTTTTGTCAGTTCCAGTCAATGCTTTGCTGATCTGAAACAATACTGATTCATCAGAAAATAAATAGAAACATAATCATAAATAGAAGTTTGTTAACATCTTCAATGAATAGCTCAGCTCTGAAGCATAAAGTGCCAGGGATACCTTTATAATACACAAATTTTAACAAGAGATGAGTATGATAATTTCTAACAAAAGCTGGCATATCATCAACCTGCATCAGAGGCCTAAAAGGAAAAGCTGTAAAAATAAACATGCCTTCCCACCCACCCCTCCCCCTCCCCCCCCCCCCCCCCACACACACACACACGCAATTTCAAGTACTTGAAATCAAGCAAAGGATATTTTTTTGGTTTCCTACTCTAGTGCTTATTGAATCAAGAATGAGTTCAGCTTTAGTAACAAACAGAGGCGTATAATGATAACTTTCTCCTCTTTAAACTAGGAAAACAAATACATCAAAACAATAACAACAACAACAATAACAAGAAATCATAATTTCCCAATTATTAAAACTAGTAAAACGAATATATGCTGAAAAAGATTGCACTCGTGCTAGCACGAAATTACCACAATTTCACCACCACACATCAGTTAACCCAGCAATCATAAACTAGATGGAACATATTAAAAAGGTAATGTATGGTAAATAAAGATATCACTTCAGTACCTGAGGTGCATATACACAAGCAAGTGTCCCAACCACAATTCCTCCCAGCACAAAGCCACCAGTGAAGATGCTTGCATTGCTGGGCCTTCTACCATCCCTACATTTGCATCACATAAAGCCATGCATAGTACGTTAAATGCCTGCAATAAGATTCTACAAAAGAACCAAAAACGAAGCCAATCCAAGGCAAGGAAACAACAAACTGGCCATGAATGTATTTACAAGTTAAGAAAAAGTTCCATCTGCTCATATTTTCCAGATCTGATCTTGATTATCAAAACCTTGATTCATAATTTACAAAAAATGACAAACTGTATTGCATTTCAGGACACTAAGCACTTGAGTTAAAAAAGAAAAAAACAATAAGACCAGAAAGTCAGTTGTAATTCTTTTGATTCTCCATTTCTGATAAGTAACATATCCATACACCAACTAGAGCAATAATGGCTTTTCTTGTACAAAAGAATAATGTGCACCTGAAGTTGCCCGTAATGAAAGGCACATACGATGAGAATTTTAAATCTGCATTGATTACATCCTCCTCAACTGAGTTACTTAAAAAATAGCTAAAATCATTGATTCAATTGTCATTGACATATTAGGAATAGTTCATCTATCAAGGAGGATTTATGAATGCCTAAACAGAAATTTCCAAATTAGACTATGATTTCTAACTCTTTGCTTTTCATAAAATCCTTATATCATTTCCATCTCTAAAAAGTGGATGTGGAGTTTTATATGAATGGCAAAGGCAACCAGGTATCCAACTGTATGAAGTGAACCTTCCACTGTGGTCCAACATGTTAACTCCAAGCTACTACAAAAAACCATGCATTTCACATATACAAATCCATCTTTCGATCTTTATTGATGTATGCCAATTGAAGTGTCAAAATTCTCCTAGGTTACATCTTCAATAGATGAAAATCTTGGCAAAATGTAGACATGCATTCTCCTTTTATTGGACAATATGATGATTGCTCCATGATACTTTAGATTCTAGTACTTATGGCAAACCTAGAGAAATGAAATGCAGCAATGCTCGTAAATTCCTCTTGGAAATAGTTATGAAGGCATCTCACGTCTGACTCAAGCTTGAATGTTCAGAACAAAGGTGTCATGAATTGTTTTCAACTTGATTGAAAACCTTGAATATGCCAATGCCAGATTCAGAGCATCACCGGGTAGAAAAAGACATGTTGACTTAGAACGCACAGCCTATAATTTAACTGATACCAGAAGTCATGAATATAAAATTGGAATTTCCTTATAATGGTAGAAATTCAACCTTATACCATGCTCCAAGGTGTTAGAACAATAACATTGCAATTATCAGCTGTAATTAAGAATTTAAGAAACTAAAACTAAAGAGGCAAGTCCATTGTTACAACCCAGTAACCCTGGTGCCTATTGGTAGCTCTATCTCTCATATGGATTTGAACATCACTGATGTAGTGCCTATTGGTCAAAGGTCTATTTGGATATTTTAATTATGCAAAATGCAAAAAATGGGAACATATGCCAGCATTCCAACAAAAACGAGAACAAAACAAGGTTAACTACAAGAAACCCTCATTTTTCTTTTTGATTCTTTAACCAAACAATTGTATGAGAATTACGCACACCAGAAGCTAAGTTCCAGAGTGATGGAAGTCACAACTCTGTGGAAATCATCAAGATGTCTGATTTTAGCTGTAAACTAAAGAAAACTCGACAGAGCTTGCCAGTTTTAGTTTCTAATTGCGCTTATCATCTCCTTCATACAAAACACCGTATCTACAATGTTTGTAACGACATAAGATAAGACAATAGAAACTGTGTTAGAGACAAAGATTACTCAGACAACATTGCACACACACTGAAACTTGTAACTACATCTTAGACAACAAATTTCTCAAATGACCCGTGTATTCCTTCTCATGAGTACTCTTGGGGCTAACAGAAGAAAGGTATAATAATCTACAAGCATGAGGGAAAGACGATCACAAACGAACAGGGTGTCGCAAATGAAATATAGAGCCAAAGCTAGCAAACTCGGCACAAGTAACTCAAATACCTATAGGCATTTTGAACCATCAATTGGCCCCTGTAACCTGAAACTCCCGCTCTCCTCCGGCATGCAGGTCTCAGAGAGAAGCTCAAAGGATCGCATATTACAGGGGACTTGTTCGACGGCTTCAAACTATAGCCTAAAAAAGAAGAATAACTATAAGTTGAGTAAATCTATAAAATAACTTTCACAATCCTACACAAAAACACCGAGGAATTAGCGACGGAACATAGAAACTCAAAAGAATATCTCATCGGTTCAAGAATCAAATGAGTCGAAGAAATCGGAGATAAGATCACCAAAAGCAAAAGGCAGACTAATCAGACCAAGATTTTTCAGATCGAAAATGATGGAAAGGTACACCTACCGGCAAGCGATTGGGATCGGGGGTCTCCGACGGCGACGACGGTGTTTGCGATCGTGACCATCGTCATCTATGCTATCAACAACTCTTTCTTGAGGAAATCGAAGAAGGAGAGGCAAGCGGAGCGAGGAGGTGACTTGAGATCACTCGGTGCTTTGGTTCTATCGAGATGAAGTCTTCGCTCCGACCTCGATATCATCGAGGTGCAATTTAATTGGGCTAAGATAACATGGATCGGGGCCCAATTGGAGTATTTGGTGTGGATCAGTAGGGGCCCATATAGTTGTTGGGCGTTGGACTGCCCCAACTAGTTGTTGGTCACGGAGATTGCATCTGATCTAGGATTTGAGCCTTATATAGCCGTATAATAAAAAATAAATATTGTTGAGAGTGGGATTTGAACCCACGCCCTTTCGGACCAGAACCTTAATCTGGCGCCTTAGACCAACTCGGCCATCTCAACAAGATGACAGATGTCAAGACAGAATTATATTTATTTAAAAAATAAATAGAACAAATTTTCTTTATTTGATAATAATTATATTTTTTTTTAGAAAACATTATTTTTAGCATGTCCATATTAAGAGAGTAATTAGAAAATAATTTTTTTTGGAAAAATATAATTTGTATTTCTCCCTCAAATCGAATTGTGCTAGAGAAAAAAAAATTTACAAACAACACATAAATATAGTTCATACTAAAGAAGGATTAGGAAAAAATAATAATAATGCAATGGACTCCTTCCTATCCACCTGTCATCTACACCAGATAAGCTAATTGATAACGTTAAAACATCACTAAAAATATTTGTCTCCAAACATAAATTCTCAATTTTATTAATTACTATAATTTCCACCTTAATTGCAGAGTTCCCACAGTCCACAATTTTGCCTATAAACTTTATGGAGAACAGTAGCTGCTCAGGTGCTTCACATAGTCAAAGAATACTTTCTTGATCCACCCTACTAAATCTAGTGCCTAAATAAAATCTTAGCATAATGAAATTTTGCTTATGTCCTAGGTGTTCCACCTGGTCCAGAACCCAATTACTTTCTCTATACCAACCTCAAATTATTAGACTAGTTTTTTGATTTGTGAAGAAAATTGTGTACCATGTCCAACTTGGATGAAACCATGCAAAATTGGCACAGATATAAACTAAACATGTGTTGGTAGGCATACAAGACACTGCAGATTTATTTAGTCTTATCATTTATAGCATAAAGCTGCAAAAGTTCTCACTGAACTTATTTCACATGGCAAATCAATAAGATCCACCAACCAATGTTGCTCAGATGGATCTATGATCTATCCATATATTTTGACCTCTTACAACATTGAGATCTGCTGCATTTAGTAGCTTTTCCTAATCATGATAGGTGCAAAAAAGAAAAGGAGAGTTGAAGGAATCCTGGTCTACAATGTACTCTATGAGCAATTCCTGACTTGATGATGCAATCTCTTTGTCACATATCAGAACTCATTCATGGATGCACTTTTCAGGCTTAGGTAACAGCATATGATGAGCATCAGGTGGAGCTCTTCTTTTAGCTATTTTAGCTTCCACTAAACCAGCTCAAGTCATTTAACAAAGTGTGCCTGCATATATCTAAATATCTTCGCTTTTAACAGAGGAAACACCACTGATGTAACCAGATAGATGCTCACTGCACAAATCATTAATTAAGATGATATTGCTTTTTTTGCAGACGTTTGATATCATCTTGTTCCTAAAACTAAGATGTTCAATCAAATTGATATTATGGCACAACAAATTGATGTAATTGACTTACTTTGCCTATTCCATTCTCCAATGGTTCCTAATATGACATGTTCCGCACACACAACATATATCATTGCTGAATGTGATATTCTAGCTAGCAATGCATATATATACATTTACATGGAATTTATTTTTGCATGTGTGGGAAGTTTATTCCCTTTCTCTAAAATAACATAGTCTATCATAATTGGAATAAGAACTAGTATGATGTGCATTAATAACTAAAAACAGACTTATTCTGATTTAGAAATACAAATATCACAAAGGTGTAAGAAGTAGCAAATACATCAAGTGACACTAAAACAAACCTAAGAAAACCACTCCTGAACATCGAATATAAAGCAAAGACCTCATGGAACAAACTGTAAACAAACAACTATTCTGCAGAGGATCTGTTTAACTCCCTGTTCATGTCACATGCATATGGAACTTACAGTTGACTCCAAATGCCAAGAATGCCATTGCGAGCTCCAAAATTATCTGTGTCAAGCTATCAACTGACTGCCAGAGGTCATGGTTACTGAAGGATCTTAACATAAAGAATGCAACATCTTGCAATCAGATAAGCTTTGTGACAACTCGATCTTCTTGCATTTCCATGCTGATGTAATCTACATTGACATCCCACCATCATCAGAAGGTTTTAAATCATTTGAAGACATCACTTTCTGCATTTTCCAACTTTGATTCTCTGGTAAAATTATGACGATTTGCAAAAGGTGGCAATTTTTTAAGTTCTGTTTGATCTTGGACATGATGTTGATTCAAAGGCAACTTCTTTTTCTTAATTCTCACTTTCCAACCATCAGCTTTTTTATAACCTTAGATCCGCTATATTGTGTCTCTGTGCAGTAACTGGATTCTTCCTCCCTCTCAAAAATGTCTTCGGAACAGCCTACAATCTTCTCTTCTGATTTATCTATGGAACATTTGCTTATCCTACTGCTCTTCTCATGCAAAACAGATGACTTCTCATTGCAGACAGCATTTCGAATGCTCCTTCGCTTATTTTTTGAGATTCTAGATGAACTATTTATGACATGATGCAATTTCCTGGCAAGTTCTTCATCTGTTTCTTGGCTCCCCAGACGATGGTGAGTCTTATACAAGAGCTTAACAGGCATCTGTTTCTTCCTCACTCTGGTTCTGGCCATGCAACCCTTTCCAGATTTTCTCCTCCTCGAAACTGAATCCAGAAACAGTAGTGCACTCTTGGCAGAAGCCTTGGCCTTTGCAGCTGCAGCTGCTTTCTCGGTTGCAATCCTTTTAGCTGCCGCTGCAACTTCAGCGGCAGCTGAAGCCACCGACTTCGCAACCTCAATGATCTCTTCTGGATTCGACCTTGGAGAGTTAATAGAATCACGGAGCTGGGCACCAAGATCACCAGAAAGAAAAGGAACCGGTGGCAGGAAATCAAAATCGGAACCCTCCCTCTTGAGTTCAGCTAGCAGGCGCTTCCGAGGAGGCAAATGGGTGTTAACATTGAAAGACTCCATCTAATTACCCCTTAGCGCTCTAGGATTTTGCATCTAATTCGGTCTTTTGCATCAAAAGTTCGACCCTGATCGATCCATGTCGTGAATTATTCCAATTCACATCATTAATCAGCCAACCAGATAGTCCTTGCCGACAATTCAGATTCCAGAAAACCGCCCACTAAATCTCGAACGTCTTCCACAAGAATCCATCTACCAACAAGATTCAAACAGAAACAAACAGCGGATCAATCGAACCTCCAAGGAACCAAGCGGATCTTCTCATTTCAGGAACAAGGACAGAATCAAGCAAGGAACTTTCAGCTACCATCAGCCAAACCCCACGAGGATTCGTTCGGCTACAAGAAACCATCGAGCAAGACCCAAAGATGGTTCCTTGACGTGAGATTGCGCCACGATCGATCGGACTCGATGGATCGTATCAAAGCTAACGAGATTATAAGGATGGAGATAACTACCTCGTTCCCCGGAAGCGGCGATTAGGGTTTTCTTGCGATGGGAGAACTCAATCGAGGGAGGGCTTCCACCGAAAGATGGATTCTTTTTGGATCAAAACCCATGAGAGAGAGAGAGAGAGAGGAGAGACAGTCGCAACCAACGAATTCTCTCCGGATAAAATTAAAATTACGAGAGTGCCATTAATGGATATATAAATATCGAGTTTTAGAAACACGATAAAAAATTATTCCTTGCAAAATTAATGGATATATAAAAATTATTTTAAAAAATTATTCTTTGAATAGGGTTTATTTTTAAGTCATTTAAATCTCTATCTCTTGCATGAATATTTCAAAGATAAGATAAATTTTGAATGACAAAAGTGCATATTAATAGTTCTGATGATATTAGATTAGGACATTATTTATGTATATCTTATGCCTTTGCAAAATAAAAAAATTTAAATTTAAATTTAGTAACTCTTTTATTTCTTCTCTGTGAATGATTCAATCCTACCAACTTCAAATTATTTTTCAACACCCTGCAGGACAACTTATTTTTCCCAAAAAAAGTAGTGAAAGAGTTAGTAAATTGTGTAGATGCAATAAGATACTGTTGCATATTTCATTCTATTTACATTTTGTCTTTGTTAGACATAGATTTCTTTTATGGTAGGAGGTCAACCTTGCTAAAGCAATGGCATATAAGTATCACCAAGATCACATATTTGGTTGAAGGTGGTCAGCTTAGTCACTTTTCACATGCTTAAAAAAAGTCAACTCTATTTACTTGTGTTGGAGTTCCAGCTAAACAGTGGACACTTTAAAGTCAACTCTATCCTGAAACTTACTTATATCAGACATGCAATAAATGCTTCCAGGTTCCCTGGAGCAAAGATCACCAGTGGTGTATGGTCACCTGCAACAATCTTCAGTGGGAATCAAAAAGAGCACATTCTCCCTGGCAGAAAAGCCAATTGTTTATGTTGTTCTATCATGCAGCAAAAACCAGACCCAAGTTTGCTAAATCTAATTGCTAGTGAAGAAACTAGAAAGTTGTTTTGGTTTTGGGTGCTAATTTTATCCTATTCAGTAGAAGGATCGTGCTCTGTAAGATGTCTTCAAGGTACTGAGTCTATTATATTTGAAGTAATCCAAAAGAGATACAAGCAGAAGGAAGAAATCAAAGAAGAAACACTAAAAACTGGAGAAAAAGATGATAAAAATGTATAAATACATGAACATCGTATTGTTATTAATGTTTGCTGTAAAAAGAACAAGAAAACTGTTTGAAGGATGACAAAGAGAGATCTAGTCAATCCCAATAACAAATATGATGTCCCGAAAGCAATCCATCCTATTTCCCCAGATAAACTTGTGTGGTTCCCTAAATGTGGCTTGTGTCATCCTCGAGTGATGATCAACCGAACTCAGATGCAATGTCAACCAATGCCATCATAACTTTCTCCCGGATGGAAAGGGCTAAAGCTCATCGGGATATCAAACTTATCCATCAAGTGGTCTAATCCTGCATCAATTAATCAAGTCAAAAAAAAAAAAACAAATTCTTACAAAGGTAAAAGATGGGGGAAAAGTCAAGAAACCCTACTCGGGGTTGATAGAACATTTGCATAGGACATTTGGTCCAAACTGCCGCAAGACTTTGAACTGCCATTCAACTGGTATATGCCTTGTGTTTGATCTAACAGATGGACTTCTGCACTTATTTGCATATTGTAGATGGGATCACTTCTAATTGTCACAGGCACATTCTTATCGGGCCTAAGTTTCTTTTCATTAGGGGAATCCTCATCTGTCTCAATTTCAGACTCAGAATTACTTGGCAATGCAGCCATCTTCTGCATTTTCTTTGATCGTGCCCTTCTATTCTGGAACCAGTTGTAGACATTGGATTCAGAGATCTGACCATGTTGTGATAGCTCAATTGTTATATGCTTTATCTTCTGCTTGCTTGGAGCTCCATTGCCTTGATTAAAGATGGTCTCAAGCATTTGTAGCTGCACACTTGTTGGAGTCCATCGCTGCCTAGCAGTGAGTTTGTGACCACCGGATGCCATTAGGGGATCAACGTAGATTCCACTCAGCTTCATTCCTAGACAAATGACCATGATGTATAGAGAAGGTAAACAGCAGAAAACAATCAATCATTTTTCCACTCGGTCAAACTATAAAACATCAAATGGTTTCTGTAATAGTGATTAAACTTTTATCGGTGTTCTAGCTGTTCAGTGCATGTAAATTTTGCAGGTAACAAGGGAAGATATAAAAGCACTCATGTATTTTCAGCATATTGATATGAACTCAAATGTTTTAAGTAACTAGAATAAGGTGCATGATCAACTATTATCTTCAGAAAATGAATCGAGTGTCAATTGTTATTTTTGTCAACTGGTCTTCATGATGCGACTGGAATACGTGAAAGATTCAGTCCACGGTTCTTGTTTATTGTTTTCATAAATTAAGAAATTTTATGCCAAAGACAAACACTTCTGAATAATTCTGTAAAACAATGTAGGCAGTTTGTAGGTAATAGATCAAAACCCGATGCTTTGCGCGGGGATCAGAGAGAACAGATATTAATGTTTTGTTTATTCTGTGAAGTATCAACAAGGTCTGCGAGTAAAAAAATTTGTTTATTCTGTGCAACAATGATCGGCCTAGCCACAAACACCATCATTTTGTATTTTTCTTTTTCCAAACCAGAAAGAAAATTATATTAAACCAGTAACAAAATGATTACAACCGTAACCATGCTCCTTGGAGCACAAAATGCCATGAAACTCAGGATGCAAAAACCACAAAAGGTAACTCCATCTTGATACCTACCTATCGGCATATAAACAAAAGCTAATAGATCTTCCAAGCATGGGGAAAGGTAAGCTCTTTAACATGTACAAAATCAGAACTCTTCTTTAAATCCAAAATTAATTGACAGCACTGTTACAGATTTCATATCACCTAGATCCTGTCAGAATCTCCTAATACAGCCCCCTTCCTCATAATCTTCATATAGCTAATTACATTTTCTTACAATTATGCTTGAAGTCACAAAGTGTCACAAACCACAAGAATCAGATCCAGTAGGATGTACCTCCTCAACAATCACCTAGTGTATTCTATTGTTTCTTCAAGCATTTAAATACAGTAGCACGCTCATTTGAGTAACACCAAGCTAACTCATCCATAATCAGGCATGCACGAGTTCTTACTTCATAACTCAGACTTTCCTCCCGACAAAAGATAGCAGCACTATGATAAAAACCAATTCTAGAACAAAAATTGAACATCGAGTTCTTTCTGTACTGTTCTGTTGCACGCTAAAGCCTCATAAAAGAAAATTATATGTTCCAATAATGAATAAGGCAAGATGAAACAATCTAAATCATCAAATAAGGTCAAACTGCACGAAGTACTACTACAGGGCACTGACCAACAATATCTCAAATTTTTAATACTTCATGTAAACACCGGTGCTTAAGGTTGTTTCCATGCATTAAACCCTGATCACTCGAGTCGCGAAGGAGAACACTCACCGTGGCACAGTACTAAAGTACCCAAGGTAAAAGGAAACAAAGATCAGCACCTTAATCATATCAACCCTGTCATCCCAAGCAGTTGGAACCAAAACAACCTCAAAATGTCACCAGAAAATGTTGTGCACTTCCCGCACTTGCATTAGCCCTCTAAATATGCTCAATTAACAGAAACAACAGAGTTGTTCCATTTCGAGTAGGCAAATCATGTAATACAATTCCTTATGATTTAGCGAAACACAACTACTGCACCAAAAAAGGATCTAAAACAGCATCAAATTGATGCATGTATGCAAGTACAGTTGCTCTATGGAAAGCAGAAAACGGAAAGCCTAATGCCTGCAACTTCAGGGGAAAAGAGAAAGGATGTCGAGATCATTGCCAAAAGGAAGCACAGCATTGACTAATGAGAAATAGGCAAGCGGAAAGAACAATTCTAAGTCCAAAAAGTCAAAATTATGTCGATATCTCAACACATGGAAACAAAGTGACACGGCTAGATCATGTTTCCCCATAAAAATTCGTTCTTTTAACATTTGTCACACATTCTAAACGACCTGGAATATGAAGATTACATCAAGAAGAAGAGGAGGTCACCTGAGAGGGAGTCTTGGTAGGCGGTGATGATCTTGTGCATCTCGATGAGCTGCTCGGATATGGTGGCGTAGACGGCGATCTGACTACGGAGGATCTCCATCTGCTCGTCTGTCATCACCTTCACGAAGAGAACCTTTTCCACTGCCACACCTACTCCTCCTCCACTCCCCTCGCCTCCGTTGTTCCTCTCACCATTACCACCAGAAGCCCACACCCACTCCGTTCTTCGCGTCGCCTCCATCAAAACCCTGGCCTTTTTCCAACCAATCTCTCTTTCCATCCGCCCCTCCTCACCTCTGCCTCGTCAAGCCCCCTCCTTTCCCAGCTCCGGCGCTCAACCACGCATCTATCCGCAGCTATTCGCACAAAACAGGGCAAGGAACGGCAGCGTCGGCAGCAAAGGAAAACCCGGCGGCACGCGCGACCTCGAGAAGGTTCATGCGCCCTTTCCAAGACCACCGACGCCTCTGCTCCGTCGGTGGTATTGGTGCAGCAGTACTGCGTGCGCTGCGTGCACAGATAACCAGCAAGGAAGAGATAGAAGAGGAGGGAGGAGAAAGCGAGAGAAGAGACCGGCATTTAAGTGATGGATAGTTCGAATTATAATTTAATTTTTTTTAAATAAAAAATATATATATACAATAACTATTTAAAATTGACTACATAAATATTTTACCATCATTAATATACATATAAGTTATATCTAAATTAAGGAGTGTTTAAATATTTATTTATATTTTTATGAGTTTTTAAAGTTTTACTCTTTTCCTCTTGGTATCATTAATATAATCATTTCAACTTATTATCAAAAAATTAAATTATAGCATATGATGATACCCATACATTTTTAAAATATAATTATTTTTCAATATCCAATACAATCATTCTTTTTTTTATCAATTAAAAATATTAAATAATATAAATAATTATTTTCTCATGGACATGGAGCTTATCTATGAAAACAACACATGAATTGAGCATATGTTATGTCTTATGGAACGACTACATCTATATCGAAGTTCCTTTCGTGAATTGAGCAACACGGTCTCCATCCCCTCTTGTTGACTCAAACGATGTTTAACGAGCTTGAGGGGACGTAAAAGGTTTTGTACTATCACTTGGAACTAAAAATCATGGATTCACCTCCTTGGTGTTTCTCCACATGCTTCCTTTCTTCTTTTTTCTTTTGCTATAACTTAATATAGATTCGATATATTTGTAAGATTGTTAGATGCTGATAATCTAACTAAAATCTTTATCATGGTATCAAAATAGATCATATGTCTACCTATCCATGTTTGACTTGATATTTAATTAATATTATGGATTAGGGGAGAAATGGCCATTAAGTTTATCTTACAGTATATAATTAAAAAAAAAGTTAGTAAAATTCAAGTGTCGATGTCTTAGGAAGGTCGAAAAAAGGCAAACCACGAGGAGAGATGAGAGCAGTCAACCATGAGAAGACAAGGAATTCACCCATCAACATCGGCAGCATGTGGACTCGATCGAGGCCCGAAGGCAGCAGCAATTTGTGTTGACCAGGGAGGCAATCATGGACGAGGGATCGAGGAAGGTGTGGTTCAGAAATGGGGGTTATCATGTGGATCATGCAATCTTTGTCTCTTTGACTATTGTTTCGGTGATCCATTGTACTTAAACACAAGATGTTCTTCTTCCACACCGATCCTTTCAAAGTGTTGAGAGTTAGAATTCAAAATGTTGAGCAGGAAGAACAAATGTAGAGAACAAGCCAACAAGTGGAGAACAGCGGAAATGAACAAGAGAGAGATTACTCGAGTAAAGCGACCTGAAATGTTGATGATGCCTTTGTTTACTTCACATTTAATCTTGACAGGATCAGCTCATGGGATCATGATTTGAGAGTGAAATTTCCTGTGTTTTGACCTTGAAGACACTTCGATCAAATGCTCAAAGCAAATATAGTCAAGCCAAACAACAAATGAAATCCAGATCGCAACAAAGCATTCAAGCAGTCTGGCCTGAAAAAAATTTTAATCACAGTGAAAAGTTGTCAACAGGCCATAATGGTTAAATTGCATACTTGTGATGAGCACAAGCTATAAAGTTGTCAGCACAGAGAGAGAGAGAGAGGACAAAAAACTCAGTGACAGGTGCAAAACGTGTAAATCAAACAATTGCACAGCAGAATTCACAGCTCTCCAACAGTGTGTATAAATATGTATGCATGATTATGCCTTGCCAAAATTATGACATTGAAATCATCATCACCACGGTTGCGAGCTATGTTAAAAATGGCAGAGCAAACATGATCACTATCACTCAAGATTTCTTAACAGCCATTCGACGGCTGCATAGATGTTGCCAGCAGTGGCACTTAAAGCACGAATGTTCTCTTGAGTGTCGAAGAAACCCATTTCTCGTAGCTGGGTCAGCTGTGTCGCATATCGCTCCTCCGGAGGCACTGCAACATAAAGAGATTAATGGAAACGTTTAATACTCAACTTTTTCAGGGTTCAGATTTTCGCAGCAAAAACACGTTCTAGTATTTCTTGACATGGCATAGAATGCACAACCATCAGGATTATTAGCAACGCCAGTACCAGACCCAAGCCCACTGAACATGTTCATCAGAAGTCCCAGCCCATTGTTGTTCGTTACTCCTGTAGCAAAGCAAAATGATAAATGCACATTTGACTGAAGAAGTATCAGCCCATTGTCCGGTATTATGATTGAGTTGGAAGTATTTGAGATATTGAGAACAACCAGATCACAGATTTATGAAAGAACATGTATCAACAGGACCCAAGGATTAGATGCATCAGATTATTTCCTCATACCTGCCGTACCATCACTGGTCTGATTTTGTTCCCTGCAACAAGGAGCACAAAATCAGAATATAGATCAAAGATCAAAATAGAGCCAGAGAAAACTCGCAAGGGGAAGAAATATCAATCAAATATTATGACATGAAATAAAATCTTCTTTCGATTAGTGATAAAATAAAAAAAGTTGATGATAAAGCAGATTAACAAAGTAAAAGTAATGTTTTATAGGTGGTACTTACTGTCTTGGCTGCTGCCGAACAACCTGGGATAAAAATGATTGTTGAAAAGATAGAAGTTGCTGCAAACAGGAAGAATAAACTGAATAACAGGACATCACATATAAAATACGATCGCCAATGAAGTTACCTGCATCGTCTCAGGAGAAGTAAGCTGGCGAATCAATTCCGGGTTCTGCAACACGTCACTAAGCTGGGAATTGGATCCCAACAAGCCACGCAGTTGTGGACTCAAGACCTAATGATAAGCAACAATCATAAAAATGGAAAAGCAACGATGATAGTTCTACCGAATTCACAATGGAATACACATACCTGATTCATAAACTCAGGGTTGGAGAGGAGACTCTGCATCATCTGCATGATGGCTGGATTCTGTAAAAGCTGATTTAAAAAGGATGGGTCAGGCACGCCACCGGCCATCCTTTCCAACTCTGGCAAACCAAATCCACCTAACCCAGCAATGCCTGTAGACCTTCCATCACTTGCAGGAGCAGATCTCAAGTTGGTAGTCTGTGCAGCTCCTGCTGATGCATTAACTTTGAGCACATGACCACCAATAAACCATGTGAAGAATACAAAACAACTTACCAGTTCTGCTCCATGGATTGGGAAGTGGGTTACTGTTTGGTGCAGCAGATTCCGTTGCTACATCTGAACTAGTTCCAGATTGACTAGGTGTCTGATTTCCTGCCTGTGTAGCACCTTGGTTACCCAAAAGTGCCACAAATGGGTTTTGACCCAAGTCATTCCCCATTTCCCCTGCAGTGGTTGTAGCATTTAGAAATGGCTCCTGGACAGTTTCATACATGCGCCTAAGCATGTTGAATCCTTCTGGGGATGATTCAATGTTGCTCATAGCCCTATCAGTGTTCCGCATCAATTCTCTCACTAGTTCAGGATTCCTCATAACTTCTAGAGACTGTCGGAGAGTACTGGGGTCATTAAGAATGTGTGCAAATTCAGGATTCCTGTCTATGATTTCACGCATTTGAGGATTGTTCATTATCATGCCTCGAATTAGATCAGGATTATTCATCAAACTTTGCACGGCAGGCATGTTCATTATTTCCCTCATCATGCTAGGATTCTGAGCCAGCTGTTGCTGCATCTGGTTAAGTTCTGGTAAGCCAAATCCCAAAAATCCGGATCCTGTGCCATCTCTCCTGTTAACACCAATGCCTCGAAAGAGCATGCCTCCAGAATCAGTTCCTCCAAATTGCCCACCTTCATTAGAAACAGCCGTCTCCACACCTATAGTATTGTTTGGTTCCCTTGAAGCTTCATGGCTAGCTGTTGCTGCTTCAGCAGATGCAGCTGGTGGTGTTAAAGCACGAATCAAATGAATTGTGTGATTTGATGCCAATCCTACGAAAGAAAAATGAAAAGAAAAAGAAATACTTAGAAAATAATTGATCAAAATGGACATCTAAGATTTGAGTTGGTTTCCTTACTAAATTAGTACGCTAGTAATTTTAAACATTTGAGAATCCAAACTAGCATCCAACACTACATTTGAGTAATACCAGCTTGGATTAATAAAAAAAAGATATAAAAAAACATTTCTCACCAGTTTACATGTTAAAAATGAAAAATTCTCCCATTATCAATTTGAATGTGCCAATAACCTACACTGCTATCAACATCTCCAATTTCTAAAAATTATGCTTAAAGGCCCAACTTACGAGCTTGACATCTTCGTCAAGGCTTAACATATAGTCCAAATCAAACCCTGGCATTGTACATGTGGGATAGCCCAATGGTAGCTTCACACCGTGACGAGTTCTTTGACTCCATTCATGGGTAGCCCTTTCTAACTTGAGCCCCTTATCATGCTTTAATACTACGTCAACTCTAAGATCAATTGCTACGACCAGACCTGATAGGATAATTGGTTTGTTAACTTCGTTAAACCTGAGCTACTGACCAAAATGCTTATACTGAAATTAACAATAATACACTCATTAGACCCTTATAAGCCAATCTTAGTCTTATTCAAACACTGTTATTTCCATTTATTAGAGCAACCCAAATCCACACCCCAAAATACCATAGTAAAATATCATATCATAGTTCATGAAAGACCAAGAGAAATGCATAGTTCAATACAAACCTTCCGATGTGCTTTGGACCAAATTGCACTACTGTTGGTTTTATAAGCATTCATTTTTGGTTAATATTTCAACCGAAACTAAATTTCCTACGAAAACCTCTAAAAAAAACCTGAACTAATTCTCTTTATTCTACTCCGAAGTCCAAATCTCTTAGGGCTTTTCTATTATAGAATTTGAAGCTTCTGCAGTCAAAAACTTAGTTTTCCTATAAAAACCAATAAGCTTGAACAGTCAAAAGCTGCTGCAGTCCACAATAAACTAGATTTCTTCTGTGAATGGAAAACTTTGGCAGATTACTGGACTTAGGATTAAGGCCTTCCCATGTTCTGCAAGTACAACTTTGATTCAACTCAAAATGCACAAAAAACCTGCTGTT